GTCACTTCGGGATGAAAGTCACACCCCTACAACTACCGCTTTAGAAAGTCACGCGACCGAAGAAAAGTCACTTCCGGTGGAAAAAAACACCAGCTGTCCAATGGGATTCTACGAAAGATGTTTGCACATTAGGAATATTTTACTTCCGCTCCGAGATGACTGCGAGTGGCGAGAATTTGATCGGCAGGTCGAATGTTATCTGAAGGAATACGCGGGAAACACCGATATTAAGATTGTCGTTATTCTTGAGCAGGGAATGGCTTGCTGCTATCACAATGAACCGAGATTAGCCGAGGGGTTTATCAAGAAAGCCATGGGGATGATTTCACAAGCTTCTTCCACTCTGGTGCCAATCTTAAAAGGTCGCGCAAGTTATTATTTGGCAAACATTTATCGAAGGGACGAGATGACACTTGGCAAAGCGCAGCGATGTATCGAATCTGCGAGGAAGCATCTAGCAAAGAATGCCTCTATCCTCGATCAAGCATGTCTTGCATATGAGGAAGGCAGCTTGCTTCTTGAATATGCGCACAATTCCTGTGTCGTGGAACATGCGAAACGAAACTTTGATCGATGTACCGACCTTTGCTCGCGAGCGTCAAACGAGGACACGAACAATCTGATGTTGAAACAGCGCGATTTGGCACTAATGATGAAAGCGATGTTACTATTGGACTGCCGTTCAAAATCCGGGAGGGAGTCCCGTGCAATCGACGAAGAAACCCTCCTAGAGGCAAGACGGTGCCTCGATAGGATGGAAATAAACATCGTGGAAGAAATGCCAATATGTTTGCAAGTTCAATATCACTTCGTACGATCAGATCAGTACTTCCGGGAGGGGCGCCCAGTCGACGCCGAGTCGCATGCTCGAACTGCCTTTGATTTGTCTCAGAAGCATGGTTTAGACTCTGAAAGTGCAGCCAAGATTCGTTGGGACTATTACGATAAAGTTCTTAATTCCAATTCGATGAGCTAAATCGACTCAAGATTCCGTTGTACACATGCTGATATTTATCAAGGCTATTGTCAAATGTATATGGAAAAATGTATATAACAATTTAGTATTCAACTTTCATACACTGCACGGATTCCGATTTTCTGATGGGCTGATTTGTACCACGTGATACTGGGTTGTGACGAGACAACCACCTTGACGTCATTATCGTGGTGTAATAGCGGTGGTGTAAATTCAGCACACCACTGTCATTACACCATGGCTTCGGCTGACTCAAATATAGTGGTTTCAATGCAGTGTTTCTTTGCGCGGTGTATTCAATTTGAATGATAAAAATGTTAACGCACTCATTGCCCGTGAATTATCGAGATTTACCTGTACTCGTTCACTACAATGAACTGGAAACTTTCTCGTTCATTGTTCGTGAACTCGTGCAGGTAAATCCCGATAATTCACCCGCTGAGTGCGTTAACCTGTAAATAAGGTACATAATATAATGTGTATAATGTATGTGTAGAAAATGTATATAAATGGAGAAGATTTTAATTTATTGAAATAAATTATTGGGTTGTTGGCAGACAGCGTCAGTCAAGTATTCTGTATTATTTACATAATATCATGGGTGACAAATTACTCCTGAATTTTGGCGCGAAATTTCAGCATTAATTTATGGTTTCACATGCGAAATTATGAAATTGCCATGGCAACGTCTGGCGAGAAATTTTTCGATTCAATAAACAAGTCAAACGCACACAATTGTAAGCGTAATTTAGAATATTCACACGACGTTAAAAAGTAAATCAAATGGTATACTCGTGAAATTAGAAAATTTATACAGGCAAAAACTAACGATAGATAAATCCGACGTTTCGGCGACATCTTGGCGCCATTGTCAAGGGAAACTAATTAAATATGCGATTTCAAG